ATAACGTTGCACATGGTCCAGACCAGAAGAAGCACACAGCACAGTGCCGTTCTCTGGATACATAAGGGAAACTTTACGCAGGCAGGGTGGGAGAGGAGGACAACATGTGCAAAATCTGGGCATAAATCAGCCGCAGTTGAAATGTGCGGCTTGGGTGCTTGGGGGTAATACTGCTCCTTTCCTGCTAGCCAGCCCAAAGCAGTTTGTGTGGGGGCAGAAGTGTGTCCCTGACCTGTTCCGTAGCCTTGGCCCGGTGTAGAAGAGAGTGGGCTCCATGGGCTGGCAGTCTGCCAGGCTGAGGAATGGGGGGGTTCTTCTCCATGGCCATGGCTGTTCGGAGCATCGTACCCCTCCGATGGCATTGACACCAGTTCCAAGGTTCACCGCAGGCTTGGCGAAGGTAGCAGCAAAGCTTGGAAAAGTGGTGAAAATGTTACAATTTTGGTCTGCATGTGCAAAACCAGTTTTGCGTTCCACCTTTGCAAGAGGGCAGGGTGCGTGCCCACTTTCCGTGTGAATCCTGAAGCTGGCTCCCTAGCTGTATCTGACAGAGATTGTTTCCTCTGAATAAAAATGCTTGGAGCCATTTCATAGTTTAAAATGAGGAGGAAAGGTTAACTCCTCAATAATTAAGGAAGGAATAGGCGGGGAAGAGGCTAATTTAATACTCAGGGATTAGGTATATGACAAATAGCTGGTGAATTTCCTCAAGGACTCTGGCATAGAAGCATTTGCAAAAAAGCAGGAGGAGAAAGCAAAGAAGGCTATGTGTGGGATAATGATATTGTCTGCTTTTTTACAAACTTCCTTTGAAAAGAGCAGAGTTTGTAAATGCCCAAGGCAGACCTCTGGGATGATTCTTTTGGGCATGGGCAGCTGTAACTGAAATACTAGTGTTAAACTATAACTGTTTGGCAAGAAGGTGACTCAAAATGCAGTTGGTTAAAGAATTGTTGTGCAGATGTAGAAAAAGAAAGGTAAGAGTTGTAGTAGTAGTTAGGCAGATTTCCAAATCAGTCATTTATGTCATGAAATTTGAAGTATTTTGTGTTTTGCTAAAAGTAGCAGCACTTGGACTCTAACAAATGGAGGGGGGGCACTGGTGTGTTTTTTACTACTTTTTTTTTTTTTTTTCCTTGCTTCTTCTGGCTTGTTTAGGAGATGAGGTTTATACACTTGTTCTGTGTGTTTGTCAGTACTGAACACTGGCAGCTGGATAGAGAAAAGGGAGTCCTTTTAGGGATAAACTACATTCACACTGTAACAGGCATCAAACAATTTAGGTGGGGACATAACTGAATTTCCTATACAGCAGCGACAATCAAATATGAGGAACCCTTTTACAAGAAACTAGGATTTATAACTTCTTTTGCTCCTGGAACTGCTCATTAATTGTTATTTGGGATGTGTGTGTTTGCCTTTTCCTTTTGTCCTTTTTTAGCAAGTATGTGCATTCCACTGTGACTCTTTTCAGCCCTTCTGGACAACGCCACTATCTTTCTACTTTGGTCTGTTGTGTCTTGGTATTTTTGTGGATCCAATCTAAAAATCTCAAGCATAATCATAAGCAGAACTTCAGCATAGTCTGTATATATTCCTTCCATATGTGGAAAATCGTGTTTGCGTGGGTTCAGTCAACTCAGTAGCAATCCTGAAGAATTCTGTGGGACGGTTCATTGTCCTGAGGACTTCTTATTTGCGAGAGAGCATGGAAAACATCTTTGCTCTGCATAAATAAGTCATTACGTTACATTGCCATTAAAATGAATCCTGTAATTTAAAATACCTAATTGTGCTGTTTTCTCTAGAGATTTTGTATTTTTACTGACTAATTAATTTTGTTGTTTTAAATCATGATTTCTATTTCGGAAATGTTCTGTAATGATAACCACTTTTATATCTGTATTGAGCATAAAAGTTATAAAGATAAAGCTGTTATCCTTTCAGAAGGTAAAGAAAATCAACTTCTAATCTTTTGAGAGGCACTCTGCAAATTAAGCAATCTGTTACAGCAATCTGTAGATGAATCACCATTTACGGAAGTACTTTAAGACATTGTTAATTCCGTGTTGATTTATGTAACTTTCCTATGCAAGCAAGAAATTGTAGGGGAGTGGAATTACTAAGTCATGTTATGGAGGTAAACATGACGTGACTTCTGGCAAGTTAGCACAGCACTTACCATCTCTGAAAAGTTTCACTATGATGGTACTTGGCATCTACTCTGAACTCAAGAGATATAAAACGTCTTGGAAGAACAGAATTTTTATCAAATGGTTTCTACGGGCACTTTAAGAGAAAGACTTATCAATGTCTTGTCAGTGCCACACTTTTAATAATATTACTGTAAGCTGGGAGAAGTCGTTGTGCGTCATTTCTTATATGCATGTGTATATGTATGTGTGTATATTTTTCCTAGTGGAATTTAAGTTAAGATTCAGAAATAAAAGTATTGTGAAGTGGAAAAAAGCAAAGCACAGGGAGACAAGGGTCTGTGGAATAGCTTTCTGTGAAGCACCATCAATCTGGTACAAGTCAGATTACAGATGGCATGGAGAAGGTGAATACGGCATAATTGCTCACTGTCCGTTCCGGCACAGGGTATCAAATGAAACAAGGATGTTTTGGATCTAAAACTACAGAAGGAAGTGATTATTTTTTTTTTTTTCACGCAGTGGGTAACAAAGGCCTTGCTACGGGATGTTTGGATGCCAGAGGCTTAAATGGGTTTGTGGAAGACTTGGACAAACCTGTGGAAGCGTGGTCAGTTAAGGGGTGTTCAATGCAAAGACTGAATCTCTGGTTCAAAAAAGTCCCTGGAAGCACTGTTTGCTGTAGTCCCTGAGAGTTCTGGGAAAATGTGGTGTAGCGCTTACCCGGTGCTTACATTATGCCTTAGATGTCTGCTTGCAACCCTGTTTGGAGGCAGGGTGAACCGTTTGATTTGACCTACTACAGCCAACTGCTATGTACTGCAAGAATTAAGCAGAATGATTTGGGACTGTTTCCCAGACATGACGGTTAACTTTTCTTGGTAGTATTCCCAACAGGTAAATTCTGACCCAAGAACGTTGTTGGATGCTCCTACAACATTTTGTCAGGTCACACAGATTTTTAAGCGAGATCTTAATTTAAGATACCCTTACCATTTCTTCATATCATGTAGTAATATTCATACTCAAAAAGTAATTTCATATAGAGAACTATGTGAAAAGAAAATTAGTTTTGATAGAAAAAGAAACGTTGCAGGGAAAATGCCTTGACGTAAATAGCTGAGGGGGCAACGCAGCATTCTCGTGGGGGAAGGAGTGGAAAATGTGGTCATTTCCAACTGCCTCCTTTCATTGTGGGATTGGCATCACTCAGGAAAGTAATTTTAACCTTATGGCTGCTTTAATTTCCTGTTCTGTAAATTGGTAGCTGCTTAACTTCCCAGATTAGTGAACAGTGATTTTAGTTGTACTTCAGGCATCTTCTGAAAGAGTAACTAGCTGTGGAAGGACCAAAGAATTCTCAGTAGTCATGCATCTAAAAAGGTGGGGGGGGCAGTGTTAGGGATTTAAAATCCAGCTAATACTGAATACTTTCAGAACACAGGTATTTTGTACTTCCTTTTTTATACCTTTGGGGGTATAAAGGGGGTATTTTATACCTTTTGGGGACTAGGTAATAGATCACCTAGTCTGCTCTGCTAGATTCTGCTGTTACTGCCGGACATGAAAGGTGCACCACTCTTTCTATTTTGCGTTTTTCTTAGTCAGAAAACCAGAAAATAACAAACCTTCCACTAACAGGGCTTATGAGTCATTTCTGAAGTGGGTTACACTCTTCCATTAGCAGACAATTAACTCTTCCACTTTGAATGCTTGGTAGGTAATGCGTTAACCAAAGTCTTCTGAAGATAAATCTGTTCAGTAAAACAAAAGAAAAAAAGTTATTATGGTCTTGAGTAAAACAAAAACCACTTAATGATGTGTACACCTTTTGGACATGTGCAAATAACAAATCTACCCAAGAGAGTAAACTGTTAGATACATATTTTTCTCACCTCGTTTCCTTTTCTGAATCTTCTTACTATGAAGTCAAAGTTTACTTGCCAAATGTGTTGAAAGGTAATTTAGTCAGTGAAACTTACGGGCCTAAATAACTATGAAGTTTCCCAGAAAACAGTGGTGTAGCCTAGCATGGAAATACTGGATATACGCACGACAGTTATGTAGTAGCTATTTAAAGATGCATGTAAGCGCAGTTAGATATATTTTTAAGGAGTACCATTAAGGCTGGCAACAATACATGCAAATTTGAGTTTAACTGCACAGTCAGATGTGTTGGTATAGATGCTAGCGTCCCGAGGATGCAGATAATCTTTTTGCAGTAATAGGAAGTCAGCAACTTCAATATAAATAAAAGCTACTACATCAAAGTCATTACCAAATGCCTCAGTCTGCTATTAAATTGCTTTGCATTTCATTTGTGAAGGTGTGGCAGAAATTCTGATCTTTGTAAAACTGTTATTCGATCAGACTTGAACTCTTTGAGCTGTGCTATTTCATGTGTCTTTTATTTAGACTTTTGTTTCATGACCAACTATTGCTCGCTGTTAGTTTCTGATAAGCAGTACTAACAGCTCTGGCAGAGACAACAGTAATGAAGTTCTTAAACTTTAGGCCACGTAGCTTCTTTCTTAGTGAAGCAACGTTACCCCAAGTCTTCTAATCAGCCTTGAACAACATTACATTGTTTTAAAGTATTGTTATAAATGGTAAGTTCATTAAAAAGTAATATTGCCTAAGCAAGAATTACATCGCTGACTGTTCAAACGATCTCAGTTCAGTCTACCTCAGTATTTTCTGTGGTAACTGTTTAAAACAAAATCCTTAGACTGTTTTAAAAATAACTTTGCATTTGAAGTTGATAATAGCTTCAACTTGAATGACTATATGATATCAATGTATTGTTAAATGTATTAAAATACTGATTTTGTTTTGTGTTCCTTTCAGGTGCATTCTGCTGCCTCTCTTGGGAATGAAGCCGCCTCAGCAGAGCCTCTTCCTGCTCGTAGATTCGGTTGACGAGGGCTGTAACGTTTCCGAGGGTGAACAGACTTCTACAAGTTTATCCGGAACAATAGCGGAGCTTTTAGCTGGCCACTTTGAGTTCTTCCCTCCCTGGCTGCTCCTCCTGTGTTCTGCCCGCAAGCAGAGTAAAGCTGTTACAAAAATGTTTACAGGTGAGTACAGAGCATAGGAAGTGTTTGTCACCTGCACCCGGAATGAGGCCGGAGTATTTACAAGAGCCTTGGTGATGGCTGAAAGCTCTAACGCATGCTTAGTTCTAAAAAATGACAGTCACAAAAATGGTAATTCTGAAAAACACACATTCCAGTTTGCTGAGGACTATGGAAAGCTTAAATCAGCCAAGTATTTTAGAGGTAAATTTTGTCTTTGCAGTACATCTGCAAAGAAAATGGCTGCTTTGAGTTTTCCTCTTGCTTTCCAAGTTTTAAAAAGCTTTGAAACAGTGTAGGTGATGTGTAAGTACATAAGTATGTCGGCTGCATACGCCCATTCCTTGCAACCTCAAAAGATTTTTTTTCATCTCCCATTAACATCTCTCCCCTTATTTTCAGAAAGTGGGGAATAATCTTTGAAGGTGGAACTCGAGAGGGGAACAATGTAGATGTGGATTCCTGGAGTATACTTTTGGCAAAGGTTGCACAGTAAAAAAAAATCTTTATAGCTTCTTCATCCAGGCTTTACTGTGTCATGAGAACATTTCTTCACTATAATGACATTGTTACTAGAAGTTCTCTGAGATTTAATAAAGGGCAATATCTAGACTGGATTCCAGGCCTATGTATAAAGCCCGTGTGTATTAAGGACACAATTAGGACAAAAATGTGATTATAGAACATAGACCCATAGGCTTGCTCGTTTCCACAGTGGCAAAAGGTCAATGGGATAATTGCGTTTTGGAATGAAGTACTGTATTAATCAGTGGCAGACATGAAGACTGGTATTTGGGAGGATGTGAGAACTAGAGGAAACTTTGGGGTAGCTTCACAGGGCTCCTTTGGGCATTCATATGGGACTAGTTTTGTCAAAGCTTGGCTGATTAAATACGTTGTCATTGCCAAAAAAACAGACAAAACTTTCTTCAGAGCAGTTTTATTTCCTTTCCATTGAATCATACAATGTTTCAGACTAGTCCTAAAAAATTGGTGTTGTCTTCTAAGTATGTTTCCAGATGGAATTCCTGACAGGAAAAATCAGCAGAACTAATGGATATGCCTTTAAAAGAATTTAATTTGAATGAGTTAATTTCTCATTTCCACAGAGAATGACTTGATGAATAGCATAAAGGAAGTTGGCTTGTGATATTATAATCCCATCTTTGCTGGGGAAAAGGTACAGCAAAGAAGGAATGAATCCCAAAATAATTGGACACAAATTGAGAAGAAATTTAGGGTCTATTTGGAGGAAGTGGTGTTTTGTTCCACTATGAAAGAAAATTGTGACATTACAGCCAATGTGATGGTTACCCGTCGGATGATTTTCCCATTTACAGCCAATATGCAAGTTTGGTGAAAAGGTATAGTGAGGATGTGAGGACCATGGCTGAAGCTTCTGTTAACTTCAGATACATTGCAACTTTGTGTTCCAAAACTTGAGATAATGGTCCCTTCTTTTCTGGTTCTAGCCTGAAAAGGATAGGCCGTCATTAACACTTCTACTAGGGCAAACTCTTCTTCTCCTTTGTGTATTTGAATGTTTACTTTTAGCCGAGCCAATTTATAAAGCTATTTAATTGGTGGGCAGGCAGAATTCAAGATCAACGATAAGTACTTTTTGCGCTCATGACTGGAGAAATAAGTGGTGTATAACGTGCGCTGCACTCTGCGACACTATTGTACTGAATTTCTAATATCTTCAATTTCCCAGCAAATAAGTGTTTGTAACTGTAACGTTAATATAATCACTGTACATTTTCTTCAAATGTTTCTTTAATTTGGAAAAAAAATAATCAGTTGCACTGTAACTTACTAAAGTAGATTGGAATCCTTTTAGGATTATTTTAGGAAAATGTGTCCCATCTCTATTTTTTTTTTCTGCTAAAAATTTTAGAGTACGATACGAAATATATATTAGTCAATAATAATTTGTTTGCAGTCAGTATATACCTGTTTTCACTTGCAATTTTCATGCAATGAACATTTCCTCCAGATATCTGCAGGAATGAGAGCTAAACCTGTTTGTCAAAAAACATTATCAATGACTTGGAGCAGGATTGCTGCAGTGGGCTGGTCCTGACCATGCTCTTTTCTGGGTGTCCAGTACAGATAAGAGTTCTGCAAGCATCTCCCCAGCCAAAAATAGTGATGACGTGGAAAAGAGAGTCCAGTCTTCCTCATCCACTGTCATTTTGCCGCTGCCGGTGGCGAATACATCATTCCTGCCACTCTAAGAATAAGAAAAGGAGGAGGGGTGTTTATTCTGGTCCTCTTTGTTCCTTCACTTTTGTTGGTGACTTACTTATTAAAGTTGAATAGTTGTGCCTGCATCTGCTGCAGCTTGGTTCTGGGCCGTTCTGTATTCCCAGATTCTGTAGTAGCACAGTGTGCTACAGATTTTTTGCTTTACTCAGATTCTCAGCTTTCATTAATTAAAAAAAAAAAAAGGTTTGGCTTCTTGTGGCTGCTGCGACAACCTCAAAAATATGAACCAAATGTAAAATGATGCCTGCATGAGTCTGCGGTCACCCTCCACAGTGAGCAAAAGGCAGCCAGTTTGAGTAAAAAAGGAGGGGAACAGATAACGCATGTCCTCCTGCCTTCTCTTGCCTGAGCACTGTCACCAACTGCCACATCATGCCTGTTTTTCTTAGGAAGTTTTCCTTAAATTTAACAATTCTCTGTCTTGCGCCCATAATTATCCACATTATCTCCTACATTGTTTGCTATCATTTGGCTGCAAGAATGGACAATTAAGCAGCTACATCAAACACAGTCTTTCCAATCTCTGTATTGTAATGTTAGAAAAAGTTTCCGTGTATTTCTAAATAACTGAAAAAGTCCTCCAACCTGAAAGTGGCACAGAACATACAATTTTACTTTTTTTTTATGCTTCCCCTAATTAACTAATAAAAATGCTGCTTCGAAAATGAGGCTAAATCTTGAAAGCATAGCAGTTGTTCTTACACAACTAAATTCCTTTTTTAAAGATCCATCATATTAGTTTAACAACTTCAGGCATTTTAAAATCAGGCAATTTTATTTAGTTAAATTTGCGGGAAAAGCAGATAATTTCTCGTTAACAGCAGAAAGGTAAATAGACAGAAGTGCACGTGTACAAATGCTCTATTTATTGGTTTAAAGAGGCTTTTTCTAATAGGCATTTACTTAATTTCTTCTTTTTTGCTGCACACAAGCATCAAAGATCTGTGGCATCGTGCTTGGTTATACCCCTCAATTAAACACTGACATTCTTCATCTAAAGAATTCCTTCTCATGTGTGAGACATGACTGCACCAGTGTGGTACAACCCATGCAGATGTCACATCTCAGTAGTTTCCATAAAGTTAATGTTAGGTACTGGAAACTACAAGAAAAAGACTCAAAAGTGGATGTGAAAGGGTTCAGTTTAGCATCAGAGGCAGCTTAAGCTCCATTCACCTACTTATCAATAGGCAAAACCACACAATCTGTCGTTCATTTTTCACTCTTCCTTTTATCTATCATTCAGTTCCAGACAGCCAGATATTACTAAGACCTGATACTTATCCAAACTTATTTTGGATTAGAAATCTTGGAAGCATAAGTCTTTCTCATATTTCTGCTATTTGCTGGTTCTGGTCTGAATAGATGCGGAGGGTTGTTTTTCTTATAGCCTTTCCTAAGATTAAAAAAAAAAAAAGCAAAACGTGACAACTTGAGAGAAATAGAGTAAAAATCACAACCCAGCTTCTCTGCACCCAGAAAACCTATACCGTTTGGTAATGGAAGCTGCTCCAGTAGTCATATTGCCAAATCCCCAAGTCGAATCAGTTGCCTAATTATGGACCAAACCTTTTCTCATTAACTGCCATTCCAGAAAATAAATGGCATGAGACCACTTCAGGAGAAATTGCTTCAAAAAAGAAAATCTAAGTTGTCCTCTAATTTTTCATTGTAGGTTGAATTAATTTGGGTGGTTTCATGTTACTTTAAAGCCTTTATGGGAGTTGGATTTTTACTATGAAAGATAACTTTTATTTATTTATGTAGTTGTAAAATTTACTTCTATAATGTTAAAGCTTTGAAAAAATTTGTGTTTTGGTTTTTGAAAAAAAAATTTAGAAGGCTTGGGAAGTGAACTGGGAGCTCTTAATTACTGTTTCCTTTCTTCTCATTACCACTTTCTTCTGATTACCGCTTTGAAAACATGATATTAGGGAATTTCCTATTTCCTGGTAAAAAGTTGTGTGTGAATTTTGAACTTCTTTGCTTTGTAATTAAAGACGAAAGACTAAATTGCTTTAAATGGACTGTTGCCTGTAAATCTAACCAAATAAACTTCTGTGCAATGACACAGACCAGTGAGAGCAGCAGATTTCAGCCTCAGTGTCTCTTAGCATCTGGGAGAGATGCAGTGAAATTTTTAATGCGTAGTGTACTGCAAGTGCCTTAAACGTTAAATGTGCTGCTTGAGTTTTCGGGTGCGTTTTGCTCTGCTTGATACATTATTCTTTTGGAGCAGGTGTGCATAAATGGCCATAGAAATACTTAATTTAATATATGTTTAGATCAGCAGTGTCAATCAATGCCAAAACACTGCTATGTTTTTAATCATTTAGATTACTTTCAAGTTAACAATTCAGTTAAATGAAATATATTAAAATGTATTTAAAACTTTTGTAATTTACTTATGTAAATGTATTTAAAGATATAAAAGTAGAAGGGTATTTTTAAGTATTTACTGGAACCTGCTAGTTAATAGCTTATTTTTTGTTATTAAAGTTTGAAAAGGTTGACATACTGTATAAGTATTTATATAGCCAAGATACCTTTTTTCTTTTCTTTTTTTTTTTTTTTTTCCTTTTGAATAACCCTAGATCTTGCCAAGAAATACATTTGGAACTGATTTGTTTACAGAACTGCCAGGAATTTAATAAATCAGGAAAATCCATATTGGAGCTCCCATTGGGTTGAAAGTGATGTGTTGTAAGAAAAATCTTAACAATGCAAAAAGCCGGGTCGTGGGACTGCAAGTTCTGTCTGCTGTGCTCCTGTTTTGCTGAGCTTAAGTAGTTCGTGAGACTGCATCTGAAACAAAATGAGCTTTCTCTTCATGTTTTGGTGCTTCTGGTCCATGAAAGTGACTTATTGTATCTGGTAGGGTTGAAAAGCAAGTTTGCAGGATCTTTGTTAGGAAATGTAAAATGACCTCATTTAGATAGATGCTTGGGCAAAAAAACCCACGGCTTTGTTTTCCTCCTTCAAGCTAGCAACAAGAATTTGGTATTTAAAAGAAAAAAAAAGTAATAATCCTATCTCTAAGGCCTTTTTTGAATTATCTGCTTATTGTAGCGTGGCATGGTGCAGTTGTTAAAATTAACAACCTATTTCTGTTCAAAAGTCTGTTACAATGGCGGTTTGTTAATCCCAGCCCTTAAAGAGCATATCATCCCTGGGATGTGTGGAGATCTGTAGGAGTGCAGTGTGCTTCTTGCTATACAAACTTGTCTTTGCATACCATATATAGGATCTCATTAACATGGAATATTTGTAAATATTGCAAAAGAAAAGAAACCATTTTTAGCTTCTGTGAACATACAATCAATTAAATTGTTTTAATTACTGACTTCTGGACTATTCAGTGCTCTGAAGTCTTCTGAAATTTATTTGCTTGGCTGAAGTGCTTCGACATTTGGTATGTCTCAGCTAAGTACAGAGTAGGGAGATGTTTTTAACTCTAATATGGAACAAAGGAGTGATACAGCCTCATTTAAAGGGGAAAAAATACCCAACCTAAATGTGCAAACCCTTCCTTTTTCATTTTTTTGGAGGGCTTGAGTTTTTTTTTTATCACATCCACAATGGTTTTGTTCACTTTCCCACCCATTTTGGGAGGCAAAATGAAAATTGATATTCAAAGAACATTGCAAGATAAGCAAGAGTCTTTTGCTGTTGAAGCACACGTACAGGGACTGAGCTGCTTAAACAGTTATCACTCTGCAAGGTTTCATGCGAAGGCTGGGAGTCAAGGGAGGTGAAGTGTCGTCATTAGTCAGTCAGCACTGAACATTAGCTGAAATCTTAGGATTGTTGTCATCAGAGTTAATCAGGGGTTTTCTCATTGGGGGTTTTCTCATTCAACTGCTGAAAAAAACACTTGAGTAATTTTAAAAATCACTTACATATGCAGATATATATTGGAAGGAAGGATGCGGGCATGGGGTTCATGTGAGAGGTTGGAGATGATATGAGCAGAGTCATTTATGACTAAACACATTGAGAAGGAGTTTGCAGAGCTCTGTACCTATTCTCATTCAGCCAAGTGACAGGTAGACATCTGACTGGGAGAAGCAGAGAGGTTCAAAGAAGTGGAAGGCGGGTGAATGAAGGTGGTGATGTTTGCTCCGATTTGAGCAAAACGGAGCTGTTCCCTGCACGTGTGAGACAACCAAAGGGACATTTGTGTCTCATTACAGCTCTGTATATGCATATGACTGAACGCATGCGCCAAGCAATGCCCTGCTTTTAATGCATTTGTTTTCACGTCTGCATCTTCTGAAGGAGCATAAACTAGAAAGTTTCCTTTGAAGTGAAAGCTTGGGTTCTGCAGAATGACAGGACACCGACTGTCCTTCCTCAGTGAAGTTTCTTACCTGGGTTATGTACATGAATTGTGGGCTTTGCAAAGTTACATACAGAAAAATTCAAGCAAATACATAGTAAGTCGATGAATTATGCCGTTAACGGAGGTCAGGTTAGGACATTTCTTGAAGTTGCGAGAAATAATCGTGGATAAAGATAGTTTTGTGTTTCTTTTGAGAGGGGGGAAAAAAAAAAGTCTCTGTGGAATGGAGAAGAATCCCCCAAAATAATAGTTTTCTGCCTCCTGGCCTTCTCATTCAAAAATCCTGAAGTAGACAGTCTTATTCGTGTAGTGTCAGCCTGAGAAGTGACCGGGCAAAAGCATCCTATCCAGTGATTTTATTTTAGGGAGAAGTGTGATTTTTGGTTTAGGTATTCTATTGTTTTAGTTCTGTTCTATTTGTAACGCTGCCATAATTAATAAGGGAAGCAGAAATGTTTGAGTAACACTGCCATAGTTTGCCTCTCACTTCTAATCTGTTGTGTTTGTACAATGCTCATGTAGACTAAACAATTAACAGAGTGAGCTTAATGTGACATTCAGAATCTCAACTGAAGACACTCGGGAACAAAAACCACAGCTCTGTTATCAGGCTGAATTTTCAGTCAGAACAAGCTTGTGGACTGAGCAGTTTGATCCACAGATTGTTTAAATACAATAAAACATCGATCTGAAAGTAAATGTTCTTCAGAGTCTCGCTTAAAATTATTTGCTCCATGCAGATGGGGCCAAAATCGCATTGAATGTGGTGCTCTATGGTTGCTTTTCCTTCCAGTGTAATTTGGAGTGTAACTGCTTTGGTTTGAAAAGCAAAGTTGGGGTTTTTTTTATGACTAGCTGAGCTGACTGTAAGGAAATGTGTGCAATCTGTTGCACTGGAGGAAGAGGTCCCTGGAGAAGTGAGGTACAATTCTGGCCTAAACCCCAGTAGTTCAAGCTGCTGTGAGGTCTGTAACCTCTGCGGTTTTCTCGTCGCTTCCAGAAAAGTAGTGTTCAAACAATGTAATGTGTCATTAATCAAAGAGGGTAGGTCTTCATCAAATGCTTAACTCGGCACTACCAAAGCAAATCTTTTAAATGATAGAGATAGCCCCGTAGTCCGTACAGCTATAGCTTCATTCCGCCTCATTCTTGAGAGCCTTATGGCCACTGAGGTGGCCCGAGGGACTTCGTCACACGTGCTGCGAAGAATAGTGTTCTTTGCTTTGGGCGGCAGGGAATGTGCGTGTGTAGGTGGGAGATGTAGACTGTATGCACGTATGAAATAATTTCCCTTTTTCCTCTAAAGAGTAAACAGGTTGGAAAAACAATGAGATCATATGACTCTGAGAAAACCTGTTTCCTTATACAGTGAGTCAACTACCAAAGAACCAGGGTGTTTATCTAAAACTCTGTCCTTACTTGAAAAAGGTAGGTAATTTTCCATGCACAGAGGTGTAAAGATATTCAAGACTATTTTTGAGTGTCTCTCGTATATCACAAAAGCTTTTAAAAGAAACTAAGGTGATTAAGTTAAAGTGATTTATGTAAATTTCATCACACATATGCACCAGGTGTGAATAACCTCTTCTATAATTATAATTATAATAATAAAAGAGTTGTCTTAATCTAAATAGCTCAAAATTATTTCAAATTTCATTGTTAACCACATTGGAGAAGGGAATATTCCTATCATAATACTTAATAATCTTATTTTGGTTGCATTTCTGGTGGTTTTGCTTAGGTGTTTACTATTGTCCCAGGTAGACACACAATGCCCGATTCAAAGTGATTTCTAAAATTTTCTTCTTTAGTAGCATGTATTTCTTCTCATAGTAGATGATGATAAACGTGTCTGTTAGCAAAATTCTCTGCTATTATTATTCATTTACATTCGCTATGTGTGCACGCAAAATAGATTATTCTGGGAGTTCCCTGCCCAGAAATGTCTGTCCTTTATTTATTCATTTTTTGAACATTGAGTTAAGCGAAACTAGATCAGAAATAATAATAACTTTCTTCCCTTTCATTAGGTTTTCGAAAAATAAGTCTGGATGATCTACGAAAGGCTTATATTGTGAAAGATGTGCAACAATATATTCTGCATCGTTTAGACCAAGAAGAAGCACTGAGACAACATCTCACAAAAGAAACTGCAGAAATGCTGAATCAGCTTCACATCAAAAGCAGCGGTTGCTTTTTGTATCTGGAACGTGTCCTAGATGGAGTCGTGGAGAATTTTATTATGTTACGAGAGATCCGTGATATTCCGGGAACGTTAAATGGTCTATACCTTTGGCTCTGTCAGAGACTTTTTGTGAGAAAACAATTTGCGAAAGTCCAGCCTATTCTTAATGTAATTCTTGCAGCCTGTAGGCCATTAACTACAACAGAATTGTATCATGCGGTGTGGACCAAAAATATGACGTTGACGATGGAAGACTTTCAACGCAAATTGGACGTCCTGTCAAAAGTCCTTATTGATGGACTTGGAAATACAAAAATCTTGTTTCATTACAGTTTTGCAGAATGGTTGCTAGATGTAAAGCACTGTACACAGAAATACTTGTGTAACGCGGCAGAGGGACACAGAATGCTGGCAATGAGTTACACTTGCCGAGCAAAGGATTTAGCGCCATTAGAAGCTCAAGAGTTTGCATTGCATCTAATTCATTCAAATTTGCAGTTGGAGACTTCAGAGCTGGCTTTATGGATGATATGGAACGGCACACCTGTCAAAGACTCCCTGTCAACCTTAATTCCTAAAGAACAAGAAGTATTACAGCTGCTGGTAAAAGCTGGTGCTCACGTCAACAGTGAAGATGACCGCACGTCTTGCATTGTTCGGCAGGCTCTGGAGAGAGAAGATTCCATTCGCACCTTGTTAGACAACGGAGCATCAGTAAACCAGTGCGATTCCAATGGGAGAACACTCTTGGCCAATGCAGCATACAGCGGGAATCTGGATGTCGTTAACTTACTGGTTTCAAGGGGAGCAGATTTAGAGATAGAAGATACTCATGGGCAAACAGCACTTACCTTAGCTGCTCGGCAGGGACATACCAAGGTTGTCAATTGCTTGATTGGATGTGGGGCTAATGTTAATCACACCGATCATGACGGCTGGACGGCATTGCGATCTGCAGCGTGGGGTGGGCACACAGAGGTGGTTTCTGCACTCCTTTATGCTGGAGTCAAAGTGGACTGTGCAGATGCAGATAGTCGAACGGCGCTGAGAGCAGCAGCTTGGGGAGGACATGAAGATATCGTGCTGAATCTGCTTCAACATGGTGCTGAAGTTAATAAAGCTGATAACGAGGGCAGAACAGCTTTGATTGCAGCCGCGTACATGGGGCATAAAGAGATTGTGGAGCACCTGCTGGATCACGGTGCAGAGGTAAACCACGAGGATGTGGATGGAAGGACTGCGCTGTCTGTCGCTGCGCTTTGTGTACCAGCCAGTAAGGGACATGCCTCAGTGGTTAGTCTTCTAATTGACCGTGGTGCTGAAGTTGACCATTGCGATAAAGACGGCATGACTCCACTGCTGGTAGCTGCTTATGAGGGACACGTAGATGTTGTTGATCTGCTTCTAGAAGGAGGAGCTGATGTTGATCACACAGACAACAACGGTCGTACGCCACTTCTGGCAGCAGCCTCCATGGGCCACGCTTCAGTTGTAAATACTCTCTTGTTTTGGGGTGCAGCTGTTGATAGCATTGATAGTGAAGGGAGAACAGTTCTGAGCATAGCCTCTGCACAAGGCAATGTCGAAGTAGTACGGACTCTGCTGGACAGGGGGCTAGATGAAAATCATAGAGATGATGCGGGCTGGACACCTTTGCATATGGCAGCTTTTGAAGGTCACAGGTTGATATGTGAAGCTCTTATAGAACAAGGTGCTAGAACAAATGAAATTGATAACGATGGACGTATACCTTTCATATTAGCTGCACAAGAAGGTCACTATGATTGTGTGCAGATATTACTGGAAAATAAATCCAACATTGATCAGAGAGGCTATGATGGGAGAAATGCTCTCCGGGTTGCTGCTTTGGAAGGTCACAGAGATATAGTTGAACTACTGCTCAGCAATGGAGCAGATGTAAACTACAAAGATGCTGATGGCCGGCCAACACTTTATATCTTAGCATTAGAAAACCAGCTTACGATGGCTGAGTATTTTTTGGAAAATGGTGCAAACGTAGAAGCGAGTGATGCTGAAGGAAGAACGGCACTCCATGTTTCCTGCTGGCAGGGCCATTTGGAGATGGTACAGGTGCTGATAACATACCATGCTGATGTGAATGCTGCAGATAACGAGAAGAGATCTGCTTTGCAGTCTGCTGCATGGCAAGGTCACGTGAAGGTAGTGCAGCTTCTCATTGAGCATGGAGCTCTGGTTGACCATACATGTAATCAAGGTGCTACTGGACTCTGCATTGCAGCCCAAGAAGGGCACATTGACGTTGTCCAGATACTATTGGAGCATGGTGCTGATCCAAATCATGCCGACCAGTTTGGGCGCACTGCTATGCGTGTTGCAGCTAAAAATGGACACTCTCAGATTATTAAATTACTGGAAAAATATGGTGCATCTGCTCTGAATGGTTGCACTCCGTCTCCAGTCCACACAATGGAGCAAAAACCCTTACAGTCAGTCTCCTCTAAAATGCAGTCTTTAACAATGAAGTCCAATAGTTCAGGGAGTACTGGTGGAGATATGCAGCCTAGTATGCGTGGCTTATCTAATGGGCCTGCTCACGCCTTCAGTTCTCCTTCAGAGTCGCCTGATTCTACGGTTGACCGTCAGAAGTCATCTTTATCAAATAATTCCCTGAAAAGTTCCAAAAATTCTTCTCTCCGCACCACGTCGTCGACTGCGACTGCTCAGACAGTGCCCATCGATAGTTTCCATAGCCTGTCGTTCACGGAGCAAATACAGCAGCATTCCCTGCCACGCAGCCGAAGTAGGCAGTCTATTGTTTCTCCTTCTTCCACAACTCATTCCCTGAGTCAAAATCATAATTCACCAAGTAGTGAATTCGAATGGAGCCAAGTAAAGCCTAGTTTGAAATCAACTAAAGCTAACAAAGGGGGGAAAACGGACAACTCCAGCAAATCTGGGTCAGCTGGAAAAAAAATAAAACAGAGTAGTTCCTCCCAACCAAAAGTGTTAGAGTATGAAATGACTCAGTTTGATAAACGAGTACCTATTGCCAAATCTGGGACAAGTGTGCCACTTAAATCAATGCCGGCAGAGGCACAGTGCAAAATTTTGGTCCCGCCAGCTCAGCAAGAAGTTGGTCGATCTCAGCAACAGTTCCTCATTCACCAACAAAGTGGAGAACAGAAGAAGAGAAATGGAATTATGACGAATCCAAATTACCATCTTCAGAGCAATCAGGTTTTTCTCGGTAGGGTTTCTGTCCCACGAACAGTGCAGGATAGAGGGCATCAGGAAGTACTGGAAGGCTATCCTCCCGCGGAGACAGAACTCAGCCTTAAGCAAGCCTTAAAACTTCAGATCGAAGGTAGCGACCCAAGTTTCAACTACAAGAAGGAAACACCATTATAAAAGGTAACGTATCCAGTCGCAAAGGAAGCAAAACAGTGTATGTCGTTACGTGCATTTTAAATATGCTAAAACTACGTTTTGTTGTCGTTTATCATGATAATTGTGTTCTGAAGGAAGACCATGCATGTTAGAATCTTAACCTGGCAAGTATTTGGTTTGTGGTCATTTAATAGCGGCAACCGTAGAGGAATGGGATCCCCGTCATATTTTCTGTTGAATTCCAATTGCTCAAATCGTACCCCACTGTCTTTGATGCGTGACCGAATAAAACAGCAAGTTTCATGTAGCATTGATTTGGAATTTTCTTTTCAAACATAAGGATAGCTGGAAATTTTAATCTGTGATATCTTCAGATGCAGTAATTATTTCATTATTTACAAAAATACTTTTAAGGAAGCTTCCGAAGATTCTTGTAAGCTACAGGCAACCACTTCACTTTTCAATTCACTCTTGTGAATTTGGCTTTTAGATGTGAAATCTCAGTAGCATAATTATGTACAAATACTACACTAAAGCTTTGATTTTCTATTTCTGTTACTGTGAAGGTAACCCTCCTATAAAAGAGATGGCATTCCTCAGAGCAAGATTAGAATCTATGTTATGCTACCAATTTTCTGACCATTCTGTAGTTTTGAGTCAGTGGAGTTCATTTAGGTTTCTCACTTTCTCTCCCATACTGAATTTTAAGCTCTAGAAGGAATTTTATGTAGCTTTTTCAGACCCGAATTGTCAGTGAGTCAGCTAAAATAGAACTATTTTTCTCCCTCTTCCTGATGGGGTTTATCTTTTTTGGGGAACGGGAATGTGTTAATTAATACCTCTTCTATTTGAATTTCGAAGAGGCGGCATCTTTATGAAATGTATGCACATCTCTTACTGCTTATTTGCTTATTTTTGAAAACATGTTTTTTGTTTGTGTAAATGCTGCATTTTTGACAGATCAGGCTGCTGCTTCTTAGAACAAGAACGTTCTTGCTAGCTGACTGAGTTCTGCTGCAAGTCATCAAAGACTGCAGGTTTCTAGGACAATTGCAGGTGGTGCAGAATCCACAAATGGCATGTTTTCAGCTGTCAAAAGCACATAGACAGGGTTTTTCCCCAAAATGTCCTGGAAATGGATATCACTGTAATGGAATGCATCTGTCTAGATGTAGCTGAGGTCTCCTGTGGATTGCAGAATGTTAGAATGTTGTGCAGGACGCCAAGATGTTTCCTTGGGGTTGGCATTTTGGTTGAATTAAAATATTCGAAACAATACAGAGTTTCAAAAAGCAATATACTAGAGCCTGCATGGTTATAAAATCCAAATATTAGCCAAGGATGAGATGAGCTGTGGGGCAGGCAAAAGCGAAGAGGCAGGACAACAGGAGCGGGCATAGAGAGGAGTAAGCAGGTGAGAGAGAACTTCATCAAAGTCAAAAGGACTTTAGATTCCCATAGTTCCACATCATGTCCAAGCATTTAAATTTGTCTGCCATTTCTTTCCTGCCTCCGTAAAATATATGAAAATATATAATTAAGATTTGTATTTCCTAACTCTTCTGTACCTGCGCCTGATGTTCAGTGTTTGCTTTCGTGTTACACTTTATGGTAAATAAATTGTGTGGTTCTGACCTAGGATGTATTGATTTGAACTGACTTGTCATCAAAAGACTAGTGTTGATGAATTTTCTGTCTTTGTTGATTTGAAAATATAAACAAAGCATGTAAAACAAACAAACAAAAAAAACCCAACTTGGAACATTTCATATATAATTTGGAAACTCGAATTGGGCTTTGCTTTATCTGGAACAAATAGTGCTTTACTGAAAATTCAGGGGGTTTCTCTGTGAAGTACTTGTTTACACAAGCGACTAAGCATATGAGGTGATGGATAACTAAATAGTTCCTTTTGCTTTTTCTTTAACAATTTTTCATAGCCTCATTGTAAATCTGGAAGTTTAAAACAATTTTATGTGGATTATGAATTGCTTGGCACAGGCTTTCATTTACCTCTTCTGCCAAGTCTGAAGCACAAACCCAGTAATTTCCCTGACCAGTGAATAAAATTAGTCACCTGTGGAACATCATATCAGAAATACTTTACCGGAGCACCTGAGGAATGGCTCTCCTTCCCTGGCTGCCTCTTCCGAGCTCCGTTCGGGAAACTGTCCTGCTGTGGGGACCTTGTAGCTGCTTTGGATGGTAGAGAGCACAGGGAATCGGTCACGGGACTTGAGTTAGGCAGGAAATACTTTCCATCATTGGTATGTTGTTGTGTGCTTTTAACTTTAATTAGAAATGATAAAACTCTCTTTCTGACAACGCTGTTCGTATGACGGAGTATTGCAAAACTTAATGTTTCTATTCTGTACTTTTAGGCCAATTCCATGATGCTATGAACAGAAGCGCTTCTGCTCCGAATGATTTATCAGCTGGCTGGGATGAAAGCATACAAATGCTTGTTTAGTCCACCTAGAAATTCAAGAATGTGATTACTACAGTACAGTTACCTTAATTACTGTAACGTGCCTACATTTTCAGGCTGCCTTCTCAGTATAACCCTCTGTGCTTCAAAAATTTATTTTGTGTACTTTGTATTTAATACACAGAACGAGCACTTTTTTAATTGCAGAAGGATATATGCTGTATTTCCCTGACAACAGCTGAAAGTGGTAAGAACAAGGAGTTCTGATTTCCTATTCCAGATCGCTTGGTAGAGGTGCATGTGCCACAGTGAACTGTGTATGGAAAGGCAGTGCTTTTTGTATTTATTTTCCTGTGGCTAAAGAAAATAAGCAAACAGTATGTCACATTTGCATTGTTGTGATCTATGGTCAGTTCTCTGTGTACTTCAAAAAGTTCTCTGCAGAAATACAAGTCTTGTAACAGTATTTTATAAATACTGTACTTGCGTGTTCTGTCTGTGTAATAGCTGTTCAGTGGTAGCAAAGGAGTCGGGCTGCAACCGTCTGTAGCGTCTTTGGGATTTTTAAGAGGCAAAATCCACCGTCTGGTACTACGGCGCCAAATCTGGATGGCAGACTGTGACCACTGAAAGCAATAGGCAAATTTGCTCTTGGCCACCTGATCTTAAATAGCCTCCGTTATTGTTATGGTAATGAGGTAACTGAATGTGGGTATGTTTTAGGTGCTAAAGTAAAAGGTCTGATCCTGCTTTCATGTATATCTTTATATGTTAGAAACAGCTCTTTCTTTTTTCCAAGGTAAAGGACCGTATTGAGAATGTCAGTAAAACAAACCATGGAAAATACAGAGGCTTTGTTGATGAGGCTGAGAGAATATGCAGTGAGAGTACAGTGGAAAAGCAAAGGGTTAGTAATACCGTTGGCTGGGGAGTACGGAGATTACTGAGTTAGCCCTGTCCTCAGACAAAAACTCTTGAAAGCACAAACTTGTATGAATGTGGTTATTGCTTCAGATGGATTAGGTAGAGCCAGCGTGAGTATCTCTGTACCCGGAGCAGGGTTAATCAGCAGTCTGGATAGTCCATCTGTGGATAATGGAAAGCTGGTTCCCCACTCTTACGGCAGAAGAGTTTTACTTACATGAAAGAGAGCAAAATCAAGGCCGTTGTTGTGAAAGTGAACAGTATGGATTTTTCCTTTGAATGTGCCCATCTTACTTGCACGGCTCTGTGAGTGATAAAATGAAACAAGTGGGTTATTTTCTCCTAAAAATGCAAACTATATTCTACTATTCACCATTACACAGCCTTGCTTTTTAGAAAATAGGCCTATTTTTGTATGTGAGTATTTCTTCTAAAGGCTTGGGATTCATCTTTTTCATACTCTAATTCTGATCATTCCACAAATAATATGATAGAAAGCTGAGGTTATTTTTCATAGAGGATTAATTAGATGTGTGGCTATCCTTAAAATTTGATAAATGGCCCCTGGATGTCTATGTAGTGCATATTCTGAGGCACTAAAGGGCTCCGTGTCTTGTTATTATGATTACCAACCATCAGAACAGGGTTTTTTTAGTATTTTGCACCTCCATTCTTATTTGCTTGTTGCTAAATGTAAAAAGAGTCTTTTATAGTCAGGCGTTCAGCATATAGTAAAATTAGATGTGAGAAGTTGACACACGGCAATATTGATTATTCTGAATGTTTCATGTATCGAATTTCTTGTCCCCGTGGGACAATTATGAAATAAACATAACGGGAGTCCGGCAGAATGGCCTTAAGAGGGTTAGTGGCTCAGTAAGGAGAGAGTACCAAAATGTTCTCAGCAAACTTGTTCCGAACCTCAAGTACAGTACATTTGCAATACTGTGCAAGAATACAACTTTTTTTAGTTATTAGATGTACGTTTTGTTCTGTAGAAAGGGATCCCTGAATGCCGACGTTTTTCTACTGACCTTGACTGTCATTGGGATAATATTTATTTAATTTTATTGTGTTGTTATTAATTGCACCTTGTGGACAGAGGGCGTAAAATGTGGCCGGTTTCACAAGGGGCCAGAACTTATAGATAGCCTGATGGTTTTTGTGTGAATAATATTTGCATTTGAAACAGGTGGTGGGGAAACCTCATATCCAAATCAACAGAAAGCAGACCTGTTGAAAATGCTTTCAGAATGACAATTCTTCCAGATTTTTGAATACCACTTTGGAACCCAGCATGAATTGCTTTAAAACATCAACTTTCTCGGAAGGTCTGTGTAATTCCACATTGCTGTTGCGTGTGATTTTTAATATCAGCATTTGTGAGGGTTTTGCGTGCAAAGACAAGTTGCTGTTCCCCCTGTTGTTCGCTCTGTTCTGCTCTGCCCTTTCACGTCTGTACAATCAAGTGGAGGTGAAGGGAGTTGCGTAGCTGTGACTCAGCACCGTTTCTTCCGGCGATGTAACACTTCTCACAGCCTAAAAAAACCTGAATAAAACACGAATCCTGTGTCTCGTCATCCCATTTCGCTCGTCCTTCCAAGGTCATCTCCACAAGACGTCTAAAATTCTTGATGGGAGCGTTAGGGAAAAGACCGTTTTGTGGACACTGATATCAATACTGTATGCATGTGGGAAAAACTCTTCAGAAGAAAAATGCATTAAGAGATACAGAGGCACAATTGATGCATTTTTGTCTTCTCTGTGATCAGTATTGAAAACATTACCATTTATTTAAAACTAAAAAGGTATTTTCCCTCATCAGTTACTCTGCTATGCAAATGTCTGTTATGCTTAATATTCCCCATCTGAACTACTCGGTTAACTTGGTTTGCAGATAGACTGTTTTTTCCTGGAGTGGGTTGTAAATAGCCTTTAATGTACATTGAATGAATTTCACATTGTAAAATTTTTATTTTATTCCTTGTATTATATTAAGCGAAAATCCCTGTGTATATGAAAGTGCATAATAAATATATTTGCTTTTCAGCAGACATCTGAACTGTTTTAATTTTACTACCTCGTTTCCTGGGACATCTCAGGAAAAGGTTATTAAGCTTGATTAACACTTGTGTAGTACTTAGTGAAACACGATGTATGTGTCCAGTAGGCAGTCTGGGCTAGCAAAACTCAGACCCTGACGTTAATTCCTATCACCCTGCTTATCACTCAGCTCATCTTTTTCACATTAATCTGAGACAACGCTGAGCATTTGCAGAAAATTCACTGCACGTTCTTGTGTTTAAAATGACCATTATAAACCGTATATACCGGGAGGGCCAATAAATTCAATATTTCAGTTGCTGTAAGTTCTTTAGCACTTCAGATGGTATTTGTTAATTACCTCTTTGATCGGTTTTTCTGTGTAGTATTTTCAGTTTAAGCAAAAGCTCGCTTACTGATGGTGGCTACTCATTTTCCTTGAACTTATTAAAAAAAGTAGGAGAGAGAAGTTTTCCAGTCTCTGCAGTAATCCCAGTTGCCCCTGTGGTCTTGTCTCGCTTCTGCTTTAGATTATATACCCATCGTGATTTCTGTGCAGGGAGTATGTTGAGTGTGAAGAAGAGTTTGGCTGTGCCTTCTGTGAATGATGGGTCAGGTTCACCTCTGTGTGTTCAGGTTCACGCTGCTTCCAGCTCTCGGTGCTCACGGGTCACCTGATTTCTAAGATTGGGAGAATGATGAACAAAATTGTCAGTAACTGTTGACTTGTTTTCTGTATATTTCTTTGGTTTCTCACAATAATTATTGACCCTCTTGTTAAGTTCTTTATATCTGAAATAACGAAGTATGAGATGCGTTAGTTCAGTGGCTGTTTTTCATTGAGGCAAAGAATTGTTTTCACTGAATTAATCTTTGAGTAAGTTACATTACATTCCAGAGACACATTTTCTTCAGATAATCACTGTAATAATATTTAAATAAAATTATTCAACACCTGGTTTTAATCTCTTACTCTATGGAATATAAACAATCATGTTGCATAATGCTTCCCGTTTTCTGTGAGATCTTTACAACAGTTTGGCTTGTGTATTACATGTATTTTCCAAAAGAAAGCTGGGACTAGTTGGCACAGTGAACTAAAGCTTTTCAGTTGGAGGCCCTTTGAGAGAGAGCAATGAGAATTTGGCATTGATCTAAATCCTAATCATTTTATGGTACAACGAGTCACAGAAACCGGGTATGGGACTGAGAAATCTATTTGGCAAATCATTTCATTAAAGAAGTCTCCAAATGCGTATGTAAGTAATATAAACAAATTGACCTTTAGAATGAAAATCTCATTTGCTGGTGTGCCAGAAAGACCCACTGTTCTCACTTTTATTCTTATAAGTTTGTATTAGACCAGCCAAGTCACAGAACTACTATATAGGTAGATTTTAGCTGGAGAAAAAGAACTTCTAATGGACTCCTGTGATAAAAATCTTGCGTCTTCAGGAATTTAGTCTGCGTCCTGTAACCATTTCTGATGGATTAAGAACACAGTAAAGGATTTTGTGGTTTGATTTGGGACCTTTTTTTCCATTTCTGTGCCTCATTAGTTCATTTTGGACTCCCCATTCTGCTCTGTAGTTGCCTTTTGGCGCTTGCTCCAGCGTTTGCGCAGGGGACTGCCCGAGCTACGGTAGCTTTCACCATTGTTCTTGTGTATCCCTGAAAAACTGGGAGATGGGGAGGGATGACGCAGGGAACAGCTACGCCAGACAGAGCTAATCGGGTAAATAATTACTACTTCTTCGAATCTGGAAGGTTTCAAGCAGTTATCTCTGGTTTAACAGTTTCTTTTAGTTGAAGCTCTAATTGAGGCTCTCTGTGTGAATCCCTGGCAGCCCGCTGGCAGAAGGGCATTGGATCCCGAGCCGGAGGGCAGGCGACCCGGTGCCACTGGGCGCAGCAGATAGATTTCAGGTGCATTTCAAGTCAGAGTCAATCTTTGCTGAAGGACTCTATTTATTCAGCACACGATCTATCTGCTGTTTCTTGGGGGGGAATATAAATTCTTTGTGAGAAACTTTTTGAAGAAAGCGGTTTTGCAAGGAAGCAGTGTGCTACTCGCTTGACAAGCCTGTTTGGGGGGACTCAAATCTTCAGCTTCCAAGAGTATAACTGAGTTCAGAATTGTTCTTGCTGCATGTTAGTCTGCTACAGAGGTTCTTCGGTTTTACTTGCAGTTGGCCTGTGTTAAATAGTACAGGTTCCAGTAACCCTTATCTCAGTCCACTTACTATTCCTAAATTTTATTATTTTGGGTTTTTTTAAATGATGATAGGTTAGAGAGTTAAAATGAGAATTCTGATTCGCGTAACATGGGCAAGCAGCTGCCCCTTAAACAGTGGTTTTCCAGCTGTGGTCTGCAAAACCCTGATGATTCACAAATGAATTCTAAGGGCTTCATAGAAAGGTTAAAAAAAAAAAAGGTAAACCTATTATCAGGCGACTTGAGTTCATAAGGAGGCCGTAGGCATTTGCAAATCAAAAGGCCTGAAAAC